TTGCAAAAGAATTTCTATTCCTTTGAATTTTCTTTATTGTACAGGACTATGCTTTTTGAAGCATGACTTAATKATTTTTTATAACCTCACCTCTTTCTCTCTGTTAATTGTGACACAGTTTGGGATGTTGCCATGTGGGGAGGAAAAATGCTTTTTTGACATACAATTTGACCTTTTATACACTGTGTTGAAACAGTTTGTCAGGTAAAAACATTTAGCAGAGATCATTGGGCAATTTATCAAATCACATATAGATGGATTATTTTTATTCTTAGGTTAAAGTGATATCACTTGGATGCTGTGTTCAGCCTCAGTCTTCAAAGACTGTTCCTGGAACAGGTCTCTAGAATTCTCAGAATATTTATCTTCGTCTCCTGGAATCCAAAGTTCCTCTAAAATACAATACCAGTCCTTTACAGCTCTATTCTGTCACTCCAACACTTTTTTATGCAGGCATTTTTCCTTCCAGAAAGTGTTTAGCATGCCTACCAATATGTCATATCAATATTCTTGTTTACAATTACACATTCCATCCATTCTATCCTATTTTATCCTTATARCTTAATATCATTCTGCATCATTACATTTATTACCTCTGCTTATATATGACTGTATCTTTTAGAATAATTGTAATTTTTATAGCTGCATTTTACCAATTTTTGKTTTTTTTTCCTAAGACATGATTCATCCTCACCTGTGTCCTTTTCCACCATCCCTCCTCCACCCCAATTTTCTTGGTCTTTAGGTTTAAATGCAAAATAAATACAACTTTCTCATTTGATCTACATGGAACATCTGTTCACAGGTTTCATCTATGCCTTAAAAACTTAGCACCTGAAAATAACAAAACTGTTCAGATCAGATAAAAATAATAGCTTAGTTCCACGCTGCCCTTCATTTAGAAGTTTATAAACATATATATGTATGTAAATATAATATAAAATGTAAGCTAAAGTAAAAATGCTTAAAGCAAACTAATCTTCAATCATGCTGCAGCAAAGTCCAGAGTTACGGTAAAACACTATTTTTCAGTTATTTCTCTGAATTCCCCACTAACACATGGAACAAATCATATAGAATTGCTAACAAGCATCTCTCACATCTTTATCATTCAATTTTGAAACTAGTTTAGATGAACAAACATTTAGCCATGGTGACAACCATCTGTCTTCAACCGGCCTTAAGCAGTTCTTTTGTAATTATTTAAAAATACTCTACCTGTGTTAGAAAAATAATACTCAAATCTGAGTAAGGAAACAATCAAGTGTATATCCTTTACCTACAAGTTTATATTTTATTCTTTATCTACAAGTTTATGTTTTATTACAATGGCATTCATTATGTGGAGACAGAAGAGAACCAAAGGATGAGGAATTCCTTYTGTTTCTTATTTTAGGCTGGGAATACCGATGCTTTATTATACTGTGTCAAACTACAATTGCGCCTTCCAACGTAAAAATACAAGACTAAATGAATAAAGCAATTCCTGTATTCAAGGATGTGAGAGGATATTAAATCTACACCCCAACTCCTGTAAATGGCATTATAAGCATTTTTCTAATGTTTCATTCACGTTATGTGATGTTTGAGTATATTAAATGGTCAAAAGCATTCCRTTAGCCAGAAGCTGTGAAGTCAGTGGGATGGCTGTTGCAGCATTTAGCATCCTCAGAGTGGTAAACTGAATAGTCAACAATACAGAGGGGAGCTGGGTGTAAGTGGGAGATGCAACACAGCAAAATAAGATGCATTTCAAAAAATGCATTAGATAGAAGGCAGAAACAATGAAAATGTAACCTCAAGCACTTGTCAAAGCWGATAAAAACTTTTCATACACTTTCCAGCTGGGGCGCACATCAACAGCACCCGAGGATACCTCCAAGAGACACTTTTTAAGTGTCAAAAGTAACCACTTGTGCAACAGATCTCAGTTTTACTTCTGGCTCAGTAAAGTTCCTATAACTCATACTGCTTGGCTCTGAGCACTRTCAAAGACTCAACACACAGAAACATCAATAGAGCAGACAGCTTGGAGAATGAAGGAGTTCAAAGCTGATGGCAACTGAAGCTCTGAAAATGTGGAGGCAATAGAGAAAGTTTAAACAGCATTTAAACAGCATTTCACAATGCATCTGTACAAAGTGGAGTCAACAAAATGAATATCAGCTGGGATGCAGCCATAAATCTCCTTTTAGCAATGTGTGGTCCCTCAGCATTCAATCTAACAGGGAAAAGATAACAACTATAAAACTGTCTTGCAGTTTCAGAAGAAAACTAGTAAAAATGTTACAGGGACACCTATGAGGRTGGGAAGGATGGGGAACTTGGTGAGATTTATGATTTGAAGTGTATCAGTCTTTAAATCACTACAGCTTTTTTAACCKCTCCAATTGCAACAGCAAGGTAAAATTATGCGTTACAACCATAAGGCAAAAAACTAACCAGAAGGAAGCACAAGTAGATGGGTGACCTTGATCAAACTCCTCAAGAACACAGAAATTCATATATTCATGAGAATTCCTGATGAAAGAGTAGCATAAGGACTGCAGAGGGGTTTGGTTCTCATGAAGAAAAATAAGCTGTCAAAGGATTTTAAAGGGAAGAAAAGTCTTGGCAGGACACTCCTCATATCTTGGGATAAGTTTCTCATTTTTAATGGCAAAAAAATTTGAGAAATGTTAAGTGAGAGTTGTCTGACTATATGTATATGTCAAGATCTAACCTAAGCATGATGACTGCCTTTAAGAGTGTGTTTCATCTCATCCTGCAGCGGTCCCTATAAAACAGGCAGAAGGATAATACCCCAAGAAGTTGTTSATTGTGAAGTGAACCCAAGTTGATGACTTCAGATGTGGAATATAAACTTTACTTGACCAGAATCAGGTGATACAAATCACTCTCTCAGTGTCATCCCAACTCAGCCAAACCTACCAGGCAATRTATTTCAGAACAAGTGTCACAAGGCCCAGTAGTTGCCTCACTGGGGGAAGCCTGCTCCTTTTTGAGATGGTGGGAGGAATCATCAACTGGTTAGTGAAACCATTTCAAGTAGGACACCAAGGGGTGTCCCTTTCAGAGTCTTAATTCTGTCTTCCATCTTCAAATCATAGAATCATAGAATGTCTTAGATTGAAAGGGGCATTAAAGATCATCTATGATCTGTGGGCAGGRACCCCTTCCACCAGACCACCCAGCCTTGCCTTGAACTCTTCCAGGGATGAGGCACGGACCTGCTCCAATCCCTCACCACAGTAAAGAATTTCTTTCTAATATTGAATCTAAACCTTTCAGTTTTAAACCATTCCACTTTGTCCCACAACTACACGTTCTTGTAAAAAGCCCTTCTCCAGCTCTCCTGTAGGCTCCCTTCAGGTACTGGAAGGCCAGCAATTAGTTCACCATGAAGCTTTCTCTTGCCCAGGCTGAACAATGCCAGTTCCCTCAGCCTTTCCTCATAGAAGAGATGCTCTAGCCCTCCAGCCATGCCAAAACTGGAACAGAACAAGAACCAGCTTGAACAAATCTCCAAYAGGCTTTGGGGTACTGAATTTACAATTATGATAGCCCAAAGGCATTTGTGTCTGCACTGACTGAACTTTTTTCCTCACCAAATCTGAAAAGATGGTCATTCATAGGTGACTTCTGCTCAATAATTCACTTTCTGTGAAGCCAATACCAGGCTGGAACTTTTTCCAATATATGCATTTYTCACATTTTCTCAYTTTTTTTTTTCTCTGCTTGAGGCACTGGAAGAACAAATGAATATAACATGGCAATACTATGAAGCCATAGACTGCTCAACAGCAAGGAGGTGGAGCTTTTGAAAGAGAAGCATCTCAAAAACACCAGARGATGTCCTTTTTGGTTTTTTAAGCGTAATACCTAAAGMTAATTTCTTTCATCAGTGAGAAAAAGGTCACTAGTAAATGCAAATCTTCCATAGTGAATGATTACTATAGAGTTTATATAGCRCATTTGAAAATCATTCTCAACGTGATTAAAGCCTTTTACTTCTTATACATATTGATCTTGGCTATCACTGGGGAGTGATCCTGCAACTTCTAGATCATGCACTGTAGTCTTTATCGTTTAAGCAAAGGGAGTTAGTACTTTCACTTATGGTTATAAAACAGTTCATACCTTCCACAGTTCAAGCACAGCCAAAGATATTCAATCCATACCAACAAGAGGTTATATGCAAATATAGAGAATGATGATCCCTCAAAAGTACACTTTGCTTTGCCCTTTCTAGCTCTGTACAGAAACTGATAACCTTGAATGCACTGAAAGTACTTAAAGTTATCATGAGGGGACAAACAATGGCTTTATRTAGCATTGAATTTATAGAATTAAGAAAAGTTTAAATTGCTTATACTTTAAAAGTGTAGAACAACKTAAAATACATTGCTTTAATTATTTAGAGGTGTTTCAGCTACTCAACTTAAGTTACTTTACTTAAGAAAGCCTGTTGAAATATGCATAGATTTAAAATTAAAAGAACTTCTAAAACTGATAAAAAAAAATTCTTCTCTTAATTGCAGTTCTTTCATTAATTAAAAATATTTTTCATTCCAGTTGTTCTAAATGCAATTTTCAGCTAAGAATGCCCATATGCCTTTGATTTCTCACAGCCTTCAGTTAATTAATAACACTCTGTCTATACTAACTAGCCACACTAGGAAGCTTGATAACATTCCACGTAGAATTCACCACAAAACCACTAGAGTTAACTGAAAAAAAATTCTTTCATCATTCTGAAAAATAATTATAAGTTCTACAGACAAAGGCAGATTTATGGTCTCCTAGAACAGTAAAACTTCAATATTTATGTGATATAGCTATCATATATGAAAATTCAGGCAATCATTTCTAGTCAAAACCTCATATAATATAGATTACTTGCCTGTATAATCTTGAAAATCCTCTAGAGAGTTCTTCTGTAAACATTAAGTTGTTGGATGATAAAAATCTGACAGTTCTAGGCATTGAAGATTACTCACCCTTGAAGGTCTCACTGCAGTATAAATTACTGAAAAATGAATCCCTCGCTCCTGCAGATCCATGGTCACTCTCCCAATTATTTTGTCTGTAAATAGGAACATGTATAATTCAACAAACTCTGCAAGCTGAGAAAGCCAAAATCCTACAGTAGTTGAAGAAGCAATGAGCTAGATGTTTATTTAGTATATTCAAGTAATTTAAGTGCTCGTTCCATCTGTAGGTCAATAGGTACAAATGGGATATGACACATTCAGTGCATMAAAAAATACACAATTTCAGTGAGATAATATTAAATGCATACATTTACAACTGTTCAGAAAAAGGGGGGATTTTGAAACTGAAAAGTAWAACCATGGAAAATATACCCAAAGGTTTGAACTTTGGGCAATTAAAAGCAAGAGCAGAAGAAATCACCTGAGAGATGAGAGCACAATGCATATACTGTTACTCAAGTGGCCAGTTAATAAAAAATAATAAAATTTAAGCAGGATTATTCTGAATTTGTGAATTACAAAATACACAAAATACACTGAGAAAGAACACTAAAGACWTGTTTTTTAGTGTGGGAAATTAGATGTGTAATACTGGAAGCAATATTTCTTTTGCCTTCAGTGCATTTAAAGYCTGCTTCTGCACTCCCAAAAGGAGACAGAAAATTTTCCTCTTGATTACATTTGAGGCCAAARGAGAAATATGTGGAATATTTCTGAAAAAGGAAGAAATCAAGTAAGGGAGGCTCTTTCAAAGAGGTCCAAATATACCTCTACAGATGATTCTSCTCTTGTTCTGACACCACAGGCAGTGGCAATAAATACTTACAACTGATAAATGTTTTCAAGCCTCATGCAGAAACATGAGCATCTGCTTTTATGGCGCATAATAGTTGTGAAACACAAACCATTACCAGTAGTGTTATTGGGACTGCTACAGAAACAAGCAAGTGGACTCACATTTACTGTTTCTGTGCCTTCCCACTTCTCATTYATGTACCAGTCTGGTGGATGGATATTTTATAACCTGGACATACAAACTACTCAGATTTCCAGGTTATAAATGAAGAAATTGTGCTTTATTTGCATGTGCTGGAAATAGAGTTTACATTATTATCCTCTTTATTCACTTCTTTTTACTGTAATTATGGCGTCCTGGCTGAGAAAAATGTTTGGCTTTTGTAAGAATGCAAGCACGGTCTTTTCTGCAGGGTTTCAACTGAACTGATTTCCTCATATCAGACAAGAATTCTAGCYATGCAAATTTTCCTTCTAAAAATTATTGCTGAGAGAATCTACCATAAGAAACGTACTTAGGAAAACAATTGTTTAAAAACTACCACCGTAATTATATTAGTCATGGAGATACAAGGCATTATAAAATGTAGGTTTTGTATTCTGGATTCATAGATTTTGGAAATTCTCCTCAGCCAAAGCAAAAATTTGCATAAGAAGAAAATAATACATATAAAAATGCAGAGATTGACTCTGGGTTTTTGTTCATTAAAGCAATCAATAGCTTTCTGAAGTAACATATTATTTGCAATTCCCTTCAGAAAGGAGCTACATGTAACTATAATCTTCAGTGATTTGCAGACTTTATAACTAAATCTCTAATTTAGTGTAGTAAGTTAAAGTCCTGTAAAAAAATGAGATGCCTCTCAGTGCCATTTTTGTGTATGGCATCTGAATTTCAACCAAATGCCAGGCAAGAGGAATTGTTTATACTGTTACATGGAGAGATTCAACTTTAACAAGTAGTGTTGAATAACTGCAAAACCAACAAAAGACTGATGGCATAGGCAAAGGCGGCCAACAGTATTGTTTTATAAAGATTAGAAAAACATTTGCTGTTCATGCAGATACCCTTTAATGAAACCCAGGCCCTGGAAGTGCCAGATGAGTGTGTAACCTTCAGCTGTCAGTGTGCAAGGTGAGATCCAAGGAGGCAGCTCRAGCTGCACAGAGATGCAGGGTGTGTACTCAGAATGAGCACAGGCATGGCTGAAGCAGATGGAAATTATCATTACATTTCAGGTCACAGAGCTGGATCCGTGTGGATTTTGAATCAGACACTTAGTATCCCAACATTAAGACACCCAACAGCTTAGAAATAGTGTAGAAGGGGAGGGGGATAAAAACATGTAAATAGTAATATTACAGTAAAGCCTGGGAATTAGTGAATACAATCTGGTCAAGTGAAAAAACTAKGTTAAATGATCAAATGTTAGTTGTATCTATGTAATATTACTTACCATTTTCAGCCATTGCTTCCAGRGTGGAAATCTCTTTTAAACCACTACAGAAAATGAGGGAGAAAAATAATTAAARATCTTTTCTAGGCAAGAAGAATCAGAATCAAGTGAATCAGAAATGTATGAAGATCCTGACTGATAAAAGGCTTGCTGCCAGTCCCTTTGTTATTCTTTCATCTCCTCTTAATGACCTTTTTTTTTCTGCAATGCCATTAAAAATACAAAGATCCATCTTCAGCTGATTCTTAAACCCCTCAAACTTCATAGGCAGCAGAGAAGTCGTACTGCTGATATTATTTTGATCAGTCTCTGGGAAGCTTGTCATTTATTTGGTGTTGGCCCCTTGTTTAACGTTTSTACAGGAGATCCTTAAAACAGTTATAAAGCCTCTTTTTGTATGTGATGTGACAGCTAAAATTGCATTTCTTTAGGACACTTTTTGATATTTACACCAACACATACAAATGCCCAAGCAACAAGCTGGAAAGAAGAGTAAACAGAAGAAACTGAGAACTCTGCCTTATATTTTCTAAATACACATTCACCTCAAGAAACAGTCTCTTCCCATCTCTGTTAGATCACATTCCCAACAGGGCTGGAAATATGAAGAATTATAGCCCTCCTCTTCCTCCCAGAGTGATGAAAATCAGGCTCTTTATTAGCTTCAGGTTTGTCTGTGTGTTTATTTGCTTGCTTATTTATCCTGCCAGTATTTTTGACCCCTGGAATGCCTTCTAGCAATTAATTCTGCAGGTTAATCATGTGTTGAGTAAAATAATTGAGCCTTTCTGCTAAAAAGTGTGTTGCCATTTAGTTTTATTAGCTGCCCCTTTGTTGTCATATAATGAGGCAGACAAAACAGAAATGCCTGACTGCCTTTCTCAACATAATTCATCTATTACACCTGGTAAGCTCATCAGGGGACTTTGAAAAACACTGAATTGATCCTTGCAAGAGAAACAATTTTGATAGCCTTACAAGCTTCCACTTTTTTTTCTGAATTTCCTGAATGCAACTGACATTTTCAAAAGCTCTAAAAATCATGCACACATGTGGGTCATGTTTGTGATAAGATCCTACCTGGCAAGTGGTTGTAGCTGAACCACCAGTAAGTTTGGGTTAGATGCACTCAGTTCCAGCTGAGAGACATTGAGATTAGTTACATTTGTCAACTTCCAATCTCCTGATTCCTGTAGAATGCTCAGGAGATACCTGGTAGCCTTGCTGTCAACAGCTGGCAAGACTAAAGATGAAGGAAAAGACTGAAGGATTTCCTGTAATAAATTTATGAACAGTTTATTTATTAGCTTAATATATAATTGCTTAATAATTAAACACAACCTTTTTTTAAAGGTATCCTTAATTTAATATTCAAGGTGAGGAACTACAGCAAACAGCATGTGAATTCTCACCAGCCTGATGGTGGCTACAGGCTGCTCTTGAACTTTCTTGCAGCAAGCTTAAAGCACTGTCTGATTTTCCAGACTGATAGAAAAATAACTGCAGAAATTAAAATATAGCAGAAAGCACTGATCTTGTGCACAGGTCTTTAAGTAGCRTTTTTAGCACCTCCTGGAAGGAAGAGATTAAACATTTCATTTTGATTTGTTTACAGATTTGAATTTAGACCTGAAAGTCTACGCAATTCAATTACTTTGTTTTATTTTCAATATTTTAATCCCTTGTCCCACAGCAGCAATCAGAATGGGCAACAGCCACTTCTTACAAGGATATATATTAAGCAGATTACTCACTTTATGTAGAGTAAGATATAAAATGTATCATTACTGAGTAATATCTGAGCTGTGCTCCTAACCAGTGCTGCACTGCCATCTGTCTCAGCTCCCAGCCACTGGTATTTATATATATATATATGCATAAACTGTTTTTCATCTGAAGAGTGGGCACAGCTGGATATCAATCCATGGGCCTCAGGCAGGCAATCCCATCCCATGCCTCTTGTTGGTCCCTCTTGACACTTGGCAATCGTGCACTTCTCTTTATAATACCAATATGTTACTTTACACATTTTAGGATTTCAGCTACCATGCTTGTTCAGAACATGAAAACTCCAAAAGGGGGTGGAGGATGAAGAGGATATTGAGAAACACCTGATTTTGGTTCTGCCAAAGGAAAGCACAGAGTAACTAGGAACAGGAAAGGGACAGGGAGAGAGAGGAAAGGGAGAAGGAAGGAGAAGGGGAAAGTTTAATTTTAACTTTCCAATTATTATCTATCCCACAGAATTTTACACTGTAGTGGTGTCCTTCAAATGCATGCATAGAGCTGTAAGTTATAATTTTAATGAAAACCGATCTGATGTACTTTTACCTGATAAAGTGTGTTGCAGCTACAGGAAGTATGGTTGAACAAACTTCTATATTGTACTCTATAGTGAGAAACATGACTCCTGATTTATTTTTTTTCTGAGGGTTACAGACAGATCCAAGGAACTGCAGAGAGGAAAACCTGAAGTCCAGCAACAGGAGGAAGCATTCCAAAGAACAGAATACAGACTATAACGAGGAAGGACTGTACCAGGGAAAGCCTGATGTGCCTTGCAAAAAAGTTCTGCCTCACAATTCTGCTGAAAGTCTCGGAAGGAGCCAACAGGCATGCACTCCAGGAAACTCCAGCTGGTGCAGCCTTACATGGACACACAAAAGGCATTCAGCAGAGTCTTGAAGCAAGGACTGCTAAGGAAACTAAACTGCTTTGGTGAGAGAGAGGCAGCCTTCACATCAAGGTAGTAAAGAATAGGTAAAGATGTAGCAAGAAAAGGGGTATAAAAAGGATCTGTTCTGTTCCATATGCTCCTAAACTATCTGATAAAAAGATAAATATTGAGCTAATGAAACTTGCTCATTATGCCAAATTACCCAAGTTAGTAAAGGCAAGGGCTGACTGATGAACCCCAGAAGCAGCTTCTGGTGCAACCTCTTGGGCAACTGAGTAACTCATAAGATTCAATGTAAATGGATTGTAGCACAATACAAGGTGAAAGGAAAACAAACCTAATTTTACATACACAACAATAGGTAATAGATTCAATACTGAGTGTTACCCTTCAGGAATGAAATCTTGAGTCTTACAACAGCTCTTAGCAAATGGTATTTCAGAGGGTGATAGTGATGAAAAAAATCAAATATTAGTAATATTTTAGAAAAGGCTAGAGAAGAAAACATAATCATGTCACTRAATATCTATGGTGAACTTTGATCTTGATTATTATGCAGTTCTGTGCACATTCTCTTGTCAAAAAATAATATAATCAAAATAAAAGAAATAAAGACAATCAAAACTTTATTAGAATCTCTGTATCACACATGACTAAATGGTACTGCTCAGTCTATGACCATTGAGTGAGGATGGGATGGAGTTATCAGACTACAAATGGCAATGACTTACAGTCCTAATTATGTAGCTGCACAGCTGGCCACTAATTGGAGTGTGTTAACATATACTGCAGTTGTAAGGAGCTGAGCATYGTCTGGGGAAAGCCAAAGCTAATATTAAAGAAAAATAGTTTGTAGGATAGGTGACTGCTTGACAAAGAAGTTCCCCAAATGCTAATCTTTGTATTTTATTATTTAATTTAGAAGCTGTTTGAAAGTTCAAGATAAGTGATCTGCCTATAAGTTTCCTTCTGCATTAACTGGAAATAGAATTCTTTTATTGCATGCAAACCCATTGATACCAAAAGTTCCAAACAGCTGCTAATGCAGTAGAACAAATCTAATATCTGCAAATCTTTCTGGGCTTTACAAGCCTATAACTCTTTTTCAAATAACACTTTCTTCTTGTAGTACACATGCTGCTACAAGCACACATATATTCCAAATGMAATCTCCAGTTTAGGTTTATGAATAAGTTTGAATTTCTGAAGTTCATGAGGAGGATGCTTGAGAACAATGGAACATTTATTAAAGCATCTTTAATCACTTGTATAATACAGACTGTGAGGATAAAAAACTCGTGATTATGCAACATCAAAGATTCTAATTTCCCCAGTGAGAAAATTCAGACCTGACCTTCACTTTGTTCTGTGTTGTATGAATATTATTGCAATCTTTCATAGCATGATTAAGAATCAATTTCTTACCCAAAGCATCTCAAGTTCAACTAATATGATAGCAACTAGGCAAATTTTTGTAGACTGTCACATCCAAGATGGATGATTATAAAGATCCTTTTCTGCCCTTAAAAAGTAAACTCTATTCAATAGATATCGACAAAACTCTCTCTGTGGGCATCTAGGTAAAAAAAAAATACGTAATTTATAGATCTCATTTTCTTTCACTCATGTTACAGCACCTCACCTCCATCAAACTACACTAGAAAAGCATTAAGATTGCCAAGTCCAATGAAACAAAGGTAGGAAGTGCTGGAGTTAAGGTGARCAATTTTTAAAAAGAAACTTTCCAGTTTTAAGGAAGCCGTAATAAGGAAAAATTTCTCATCTCCAGAGGGAACAGAGGCAAGGTCAGAAAGCAAACAGTTGCTGACATTTATTCAGATTGTTAAAAACTTGGTTATAAATCTTTGATCTGCCAGATGCACACCAAAGATTTACTGAAACATGACCTTTTGTTTAGCTGAGGACTTCCTCACAGCACTCAGTAGGTCCCCAATCCCCCTGTGCACCATCTAATTCCAAAACCCGTCAGTCTCTGGTCTCATCTTTAAACTTTAAAGCCTTTAATCTCTGTCTACAGTGCTGATGGAGCCCTGATTACAAGGCAAAAGAAGAATGTTTTTAATACTTTAATATCCCTCCTCTTAAACATCCAGGGTCTACTTAAACAAGAACACCACATTATTAGGAATTTGCAATGTCATGCATTGCAGTGCATTTCAAACAGCTTCTGAAATCAAACCAGTTTTGCAGTCAGGCAGCAACAAAAATCTGCTCCAGACACAGCCTTGCAGAGATGTTAAACCCTGAGAAGAAAAGGCACAGCAGAGAAGAGCTGGTGCCTCTGCCTGCAGACACAATCACTGATCCACACAGGATAGATGATTATGACTCCCATTCATTCCTCAGAAAACCCATGTAAATACTTTGACTAGTTGTTCTGTTCCAGCATCAGTGTTAAAATGCTGTTATATGACAAATAGATGAATATCCCCAGTTCCAGTGATACAAGGAAGATGTGAAGTTCTCAGTATAGATGTAGAGACAGGTAATACGTGAATATTTATGTATTTAATTACATATAGTGCTTGCTGTGTGCTGCTTGGGATTTTACATTTCCTTGTGTGCTCTGGTGCCATTTACATTACTAACAGCTCTRTTATCCTGCACTGCCTCCAGGAATGTCTTCATGTCTTTATGACTTTCACAAGTGAACATTTCGTCTAATTACATTTCAATAAACTGTCATGTAAGTACAACCATAGATGCTGTGCACAAAATCCATACACGTTCTCAGTGAGGACAGAATTTGAAGCTGTTGACAGATTCAGGAGGATTCCATCTTAAATTCTGTGCCTAGAGTTTATATGAAATTATTCAACTAGCATTATTTTTTCCATTAACATTAAGGCAATATAGAATCTAGTGATATATTAACTTAATTAAAATATAAACCAGTTAACTCCCCAACTGAGCTTCAATTTCTGTAAAAACTAAATAGGTTTTAAATTCTGAAAATCAATTATTGGTTCCTATAACTTCTGTTCTTCTCATGGCTTTAAAACAGAATTTTTGGGTGTTGGTTTTGAAGTTTATATTGCTTTTTAYAATAGAAAAATGTAGCATATTTAGTTGGAATATGAATTGTGAAAACGCAGTTTTTAAAAATATAATAGCTAGAAAAGACATATCTGCAAACTCAGTTGATTTCCTTTAACACATCTGCTTAAACTGGAATAATCCCAAGAATTTAAACAGGAAAACTTCTGCAACTCAGTTCCATTTTCCCAATTACTGTCTGTTTGCACCTTTCTTGCATCTTTCTTTTTCTTTTTAGTTTTAAATACTGCAGAGGAAGAAACATAAGAGATGAATACTTGCCTGAACATTTTGAAATGGATTCTTGTTGCCATAGGATTCACTGAGGTATGTGAAATCATCTACGCTAAGCTGGAAAACAAAGAGAGTAGGCTGGTGAGAAGGAGCCATGGCATCTCATTTAAGTACAGACTTGTGCTCAGTACTGGTGAGAAAAAAAATTTTTACATACCCTATCTTGCAGGAACAAGACGAGGTTTCTGGAATTCTGGGTAAAAAGAGGTTGCAAGAGTTCCCTCAGCTCCTGTGCTGAGACCACATGTCCTTCGTGCAGAGCAGTGTCTGGATTCCACTGTGATCTACAAAGGAATAATTTCTTTTTCTGTAAAATTTGCTGCTAGTGAGGACACCTCTTCTTTCTTTCAATAGGCAGTGGCAGGTAATGAAATCACCACCTTTAAGATCAACTTTGCAGTTCAGTTTACTTTCATTCTACTGAAGGGAAAAAGAACTTGCCCATTTATGCCTATATCACATTTTGTTTCAGCAGGAAGGAACAGGGGTAATATCTCCATTTTCTTGTTCATGTACGACAGCAGAGCTGCATTCTTCAAAAATAAGTTACCTACTACGTGCGATGAAGAAGATGCCAAAACCCTTCAGAGAGAATTCCCAGAGGGCATCCCAACTCCCAAAACACTTTGCAGTGCTGGCAGATGGAGGTCGAGAGGAGTAGAACTCAGACTAGAACACAAGTTGTCACAAACTTGTACTTTTTATAAAACTTTTGTTAAGTAGAAGTGTCTTTTCAATGTTATTCTAAACAAGTTCTCTCCTAAAGTTTTCACAATGAAGGAACCATTCTACAGAAGCAGCTCAGAAAAKCTGCCTTTCCAGCAGCAGGAGCTCTTCTGAGTGGAATGACTGAGGACACCCAGATTACAACACTTTTGCCAACCTGGACAGAGAAATAACTCATCTATTTTGTTTTGTTGTTACAGAAAATGGTTATGGGCAAAACAAGAGGTGGCATGACTCTTTCAACACCTGACTGGGATTTTAACAGTATGCAACACAGGGCTATAGTTTTATGAACATTTTTGTCCTAAATGCTTTGACTAAGAAAAATTGTGTGCAGAAAACCCTGATCTTGAGGCATAATCTCCCACCTTTACACATCAACTGCTAAAGCCTGAGAAAACAGGTATTCCAGACACTCTAACTGGTTCTAATTACAAAGAGTCAAATCTGGGGAATTGCTGCGTGCTCTAGCATCAGCTATTATATGATCGCAATTTGATGAAGTTGAGATGCAGATCACATTTTCTAACTCAAAGCAATTTGCAAATGACCCTTGCACAGCAATTTTTTTTGAATGAGAACAACATTTGCAGTCCCTTAAGATGGAGGCAGAACAGRGTTAATGAACACATAGGTGGGGTTCAATGTTGTTTTGTGGATAAGGAAAATCTATACTGCACTCCAAGTCTTCCCTATAATTCCAGTGAAGATTGCTGTAAGTGAACTAGAAAACTCAAATTGCACCCATGGCAGAGACAAAACCAGTACAGCCCTGAAGCACTGATGATACCTATCTCACTTCAGACTCTGGGGTCTGGGAAAGTGTTAGAGCAAACTCTGTATTTGGAAGATTCCTTCAGGGCAATGTGCTGCAGACGTGAAAATTAAATTCTAGTAGATCTTTTTCCTGTCACTTTTCAAGCTTTAAAATTAAATCTTGCTGAGATGAAGGAAATGTTTCTTTATTGGTTGAAATTATCTGATATTTTCTTAGTTTTACTCAGCATCTTTGCTTTGTTAATTTATGCTTGGGAATCCACATTAACTTATATTTATGAACATAAACAACTTAGARATTGCAATAGGCAAGCTTCAATTTTTCAGAGAAGTCAAACCTCACAATTAAAAAGAAATTAAGTATAATCTTTAAAATCAATAAATTTGAAAGCACAAAAAGTACCAATGATTGTGAATGACTCTTCAGGAACTGACTTTCATGCTGACTTTGTGCCTTATATGGCCACACCAAAACACTAATGATTGTAAAGGAAAAGCAGCTAGATTAAATTAAGAGATGATTAAAAATGGCTTCTGTGAAAGAAAATGACACTGAGTATCTTGCTATACTTATTTTTWAAATAACTAAATAAATCCATTTCATACCTAATATTAGAAAAAAAAATGAAGCTTTTGAGAGCTTTGGGGACTTGCAATTAAGAAAAAAAGTTAACAGAAAGCACATCAAAGAAAACTAAATTATTTGCAGCGTCACAATAGTAAAGGCTTTTTTTGTGAACTCAAAACCTCAGAAGTTTAATGATCCTCTTTTAAAGCATACTTGCTTCTAAGAAATTCCCTGATCCTTGAAGCAGCTCTTGCTAGCTGTCTAACCTTGAAAACACCTTCCGTGACACTTTTTAACTTTCAGTCAACTTTAGTAACTTCATCATCATAAAAAAAAATCTGCATCAGYTAGTTAATAATTTTATTACAATGTAGCATTTGCCTAATACTTATATTCACAATATTAAGTGTGCATTTATTTTGCTTCTTTTAAACAGTTTGCTGAGCACTATGCATGGCCATAGCAAATGCTGCATCCTTCACGGAGGATTGCTGTCTGCTCGGTGCACAACACTCTCAGTGTGGTTCAGACAGGGAACAGAATCATTGAAACAAGCTGGAAAACACCTCTAAAGTCATCAACTCCAGCGTCAGTCCAGCAGTGCCACGTCCACCCCTAAACCATGTGCCCAAGTGCCATATCCACGTGTTTTGGGAATATTCCCCGTGACGGTSACTCAGCCACTTCCCTGTTCAATGCCTGACCATGCTGGCGGTGAAGAATTTTTTCCCAATATCCAACTCCAACTTCCCCTGGTGCAACTGGATACTGTTTCCTCTTATTCTATCCCTTGCTAGCTGTGAGAAGAAACCATCCCCCACCGGGCTACAATCTCCTTTCCAGCAGCTGTAGAGAGMARTGAGGTCTCCCCTGAGCCTTTTGCCCAGGCTGAGCACCCCCAGCCCCTCAGGCACTGCTCGCAAGCCCTGTGCTCCAGCCCCATCAGGATGTTTCACTGGTGCTTTCTCAGGATGTTTCACTGGTGCTTGCTGTGAGCTGCAGGGTGACACAGAGCTCTGTGAGCGCCACAGGTCACGGATACACCGAGGATGTGAGGATGTGCATCAGCGAGCGCAATCAGCCAGGACACCCCAGTGAACTCCTGCCCTCGGTAACAGATCCCCCGTGTCACACCGGCACTCGGCTGACACATGGATCGCTGTGAGCCATTGCTCACACAGGATGCTGTTCCAAGGAGGCACAGCCCGGCACAGTCACCTCATCCACACGCCAAGAGTGTCACACTGCCCACAGCAAAGCCACCGGGGCTCACAGTGACCAACATCTCTGCTAATGGATGCRCTCTAATGTGTGTGCAGGAGCACGAAAGCTCAAGGAAACTTAGGGAAGCTTTAAGTTTGAGGAAACTTAAAACTCAGCTGCTCTCTTTCCTCCAATAGTCAAACAATGCGCTAAAGAAACTGAGGAAAGCAAGCTTAGCTTGTTATCCTGCTTCTTGTACCTCACTGCTCTGACATGACAACTCTAAGCATACAGACTCTTCCCTGAACATTATTCTTTCTGGAATTTGAGAAATTATGTTTGATGGAAGCAAAGATTTCAAGATTGCCTGTATCTGGACCCACCAGAAGGGTGAGATAACAAGAATTCTATCACTCTAACTTGTGAGCTTACATTTTTGCTTTGTAACTGGCTCCAGAACTCTTTCCTACAAGTTATTCTTGTCAGTTGTCTCTTTCAGTCACCTTATGATTACCATCTAAGAAATCATCTTTTCCCTGGCACAACACAAGTAAACTGGCATTCATGCTGGCACATAGCATCTCCATGGGCATCCAATAAAGTTAGAGCTGAATAAAATTTTCCCTTTTATGTTCACCTTCTTTCAGCAGATATTTCAGTAAATTCCTTGTAGTTTTGAAACAGTGCAAATGTACTAATGGGCAATAACGCCTTTTCAAAGTCACTTATAATCTAGGTTTGCCAGAAAAGGATTATTTCCCTATATAAGCATAGCATAAAAAAGAGAAAATAATGTATTTCAATGACTGTAGGCAAAAATCATTCCTAAAACAAACATATGAGGGGGCAATCACAAAAGCTAATTTTAATGAATTCATTCCCTCAAACTCCTTCTCCTTATCTGTGAAGGGAAAGAAATTATTTTGAATATTGGTTCAAAATGGCTAAATCAAATTTCTTCTGCATATCATATGCATGAAAAGCCTCTCAATCTTACCCGCTTCAAAAAAGAAAAAAAACCTAGGAATATTATTTTAAAGGCTGATCTAAAATARAGGTCACATTTTCAGGCCAAAGTTATCTGAAGAATATCCAGTGATACAATCTTTTGTGAAAAGCAGAATACTGTGGCATACTGAGTTACTCCCTAGCTGAATGGAGAAAGATTGTTGTTTTTAAAAAAAACACTTTTCTCTAAGTCGGGATCTCCATTTTTCTTCCTAGAGGAAAGAGGTATTTGATTTACTAATGTCTCTGTAAGAACTGAGATCACACTTCACTTTGCTTTGTGCACTGCATGTGCTCSTCAGCTGCAGGTTTCATCTCTATCTACATCTAACATTATCTTTAATAGCATGATCACAGTACAGTAGTAATGTATAAAAAAGACTTTAAAGTGTTACATTCTCTAATACTGCTGTCCTGAGATATGGCTTGGCAAACCCTGCCTAGTTCTAAATTATGACAAAATGTAGTATCTTTCAACTATTCAGTTTCATATCCTAACAGATAACCTGGAAAAAGGTAGTAGTTCAGCAAATTGCAACTTCTGTTGATTAATGAATCGCTAAACTTTTAAACTGGTGGAATATGTTTCTACGAAGGGAATAGAAATAGATTGGTAATTGCTGCAATTCTGTAGTTAACTTCCCTAAGACTCTTAATAGTAGTTTCCAAATTTCATAGGCCTGTAGATCACACACTGCAAGCCTTGCATCACTGTGGAGTACTGAGATGTAGAGCACCAAGTTAAGGGTTAGAAACCAAAAGTTGCTGTTAGTGTTATTTTATTTCATAAAATAACAAAAAACTTCATTTCAGTTGCTTCATTAACCTTCACCAGAATTAATCTTGACTCACAAGAACTTCTCCTTTCAAAATGCAAAAGTCATGGTAGGAGGAACACTTCTTCCACAAAAGGTTCTGTTCCTGCAAACATGAAACTGACTCACCCCATCCACTGTCCTGATTTTCTTGGTCTAGGTTTGTATAGACCAGAACAGTCTGCAGTAGMACAAGCTGCTAATTGCATCTTGATGGAAAGTTTGTTTTCATGACCATATGGGATTAAGTGATTGTTTATACTGACAACAGGTGTGTGTTTTTTACACAAACCAGGAAGTAGGACAAAGGAATCCATGAGCTTTTCTTAGATGCTTAGAATCCCTTTTAACCTAAGAACAGCTTCCCAACATTTACTTTGGTYTTAAATACAGGAGTTAATACTCATATGAGTGCCTGTCTTATATAGTGGCGAATCACTAAGTATTTTGAATATAAAATGACTTGACATTGACACATCCTCTATTTTTTTTAGGGGGATAAAAATAAGTCAAAGCTAAAAAGTCAAAGCTAAAAAAGCAAACCTTTTCCAAACTTGTGGATTTTTATATGCATACTTTGAGATTTTGGAAATGCCTAGAAGATGAGTAAACATTTGGCAAAGGTGTTAAATAAGTGACCCACACTTTTCTGAAAACTTTACATATCCAGTATCCACCTCAAGCTACTGCATCCACCTGAACCTGCCATACTTCTGGAAATAATAGTACAAAATCCTTAAAGTGGGCATGAATAAAATTCCTGGATGGAAACAAAGAGGTCTGTACGCGGTTCTTTCATGACAGCTTTGAAGTCTTATTTCATAAGTATATGCAAACTCCTGAATTTCATGTGTCCCTGGATCTGTCATGACTCTGCAGTTGTTTCTAACAACCGATGCATAAACATACAGCAGTGTATTTAAGAACATGTGTTAAAAAGAACAGTGAAAAGTCAGGGTTCAGAAGTTAGGAAATACAAGGATTCAGAAACTGCCCCACACTTTTTGGTCAGCTCCTTTTTGTGTCACTGCCTCATGGTGTGGTCACGACATGTATAACAGTGGAGATCAAAGATGTCTTGGGGTGAATAAAGCCCATCTACTTCAGATCTTTAGTTTATGGAGTTTATTTACTTCCTTCTGTTCAGCTTAGAACACTAAGATTATAAATTAAAGTGTGTAAAAACATCTGTTGGATTGTTTGACGGCCAAAGCGCAAATTTATTCAATGGATAAGTTTATCGCCCAGAGCTGATTTCCATAATCGATGTAGCAATGTATTCTGTGTGCACACACAGAGCAGCAGCACAAGCAGGGCTTTTATTCGGTTTCTTACCTCTGAGTTGACCAGAGCAGCATCGGCACATGATCCGCCGCCAGCGAGGTTTGGAGCAGCGCGGCGAGGGCGGCCAGCAGCAGGGCTGGAGCAGCAGGGCAGAGGCGAGCCATGGCTCCGGGCGAGCGCACACGGAACTGAGCTGGCCAGCGGCGAGG